CGTGATTCTGACAACCGTAGCCAAAGTTATGGCCAAAATACCGAAACGTGTCCAAAAAGGCCCCAATTAGGAAAGGTCGGTGATTATTTGCCAATTTTGCGCTGATCCGCCAACTCATGGTATCTCAGCGCCATTAACGTACTATCAGACAGCTCGCCTCGTCTGACTCGGATCCTCCTGCATCAACTTGTGATCAGGTTTATGCCCACTCCTTTATTTGTGTTTTTCTATAAAATAGCCATGTTGGTGGTTTATTACAAAGAACATCCTCTTTACATTTCACCCATCCATGGTCTAAAATTGCCCAAACATAGCCTCCAACCATTATTTCCATTTTTTTTGACCTTCCGAACATTTAACAGAACATGGTATGGTCAATTAATGCACAATCTATCAATTTGTAGCGCATATATTATTGTTCTCTACAGTGCTTTAGAGCGTCACTCCCCGCACTCAGAGAAACAACGCAACTATCAAACATTAGAATAGAATGAGAAGGCATAACACAGAAAATTTTACCTCATTCTTCAACTGTATCATGGCATCATAATTGCAAAACCTTCTGTCTCCATCCCAGCCTGGAATAGCAAATTATGTTAACACCCTCTGATAAAATATAAAAAAGTAATATTAAGCTGAGAACTAAAATCTTAAAATGACATAAACTATTTGATCATGAAGATGTCGAATTGAGTATATGCAACAACAATAAGCTAAACTCTATTCCTTACGAAATTTGCATGTGGTTACATCAATCCTTTCCCGATCACTACATTCGATCTCTAGTTAACTCTTTTCTAAGGTTTAAGGAAATCAAATCTTTTCATGATCACCTTAGGTTTGGTTAGTTTTGATCTACCTCTTCCTCTTCTAACGCATTGATACAATCTAGTTAATGGGAGTTCTCTAGAACTTCGTAAAACATAACTTATCCATCTAGGATTTCTTTAATTAATTAATCCTCAAATGATGAAACCTCTAATATTATCCATTCTAGTGTGGTTACATATCCATTTTAACATCTTATATATGTTGCATTCATCTTATAGACATTTAGTACTTTAGTGTTCTAAGCTCAATACATAAAGTATAGTTGATCTAATAGTTATTCTACAGAACTTAATTTCCCAAGTATCTTCAAACAACATAGAATTCATATAACACGTGTTCATATTGTCCAACTTCTTCTTCTTCTTCTTATCACATGCATTATACCATTCTCAAGTGCTTTATGTTATTAAGAATCAAATTTAATTACTTAAAAGTACTCTTCATGATAACATATTTTGTTCCCTTACTTTAATTTCATCACTATTCTCATTCCTATAACCCTTGTTTGGTCCCTATTATTTTGAAAATGTTTTTTTCTTTCTTTTATTTTCAACCACATATTTTTCAATAAAATAATATTACACGCAAATTCAAAACTTTTCTTCTTTTTTAATCACAGATTCTCCATCAAAAAATTATTCCAAAATGCATTTTCGCCAAAAATGGGGCTCAATCAGGCTCATAGTAATTAAAATCACATTACATATATTCAATCTAGTTCTATTTCACCTAAAACTCTTAATTTCAAAGTGCTCTTCGAGTTTTCATATAAATGACACTCCTCGACTCATCAACTGAAATTGTGTTATTTGCTAGTAACATTCACCAAGGAAACTCAAGGCAAAGATGCTTGGTCAATTCATTCATGACTGAAGCATAGAGATAATGACATGCAGCAGGATCTTGAACCGAGCTTATTTTTACTATAATATAAAAGAGCCAAAAAACTTGGCACCACGTGTCGCGATTTCCCATCGACAAAAATGCATTTTTTTTTCCTGAAATTTTCACGCATCTCCTCCTCTTCACGCAACCCATCGCATCTTCCATTTTCACACGTAATTAACTTCATCCATATTGCTCCCCATCATTCATCAATTCACCACCATTAATTCACAACAACCATAGTGCGCCGAATTGACGTGTCTATGACTTTCCTTTCAATGTCTTCACTACCCATTCTCTTCCATTGCTTATTCCCGACAAAAACTCCATAGAGTAACACCTTATTGAGGTTTGTATTTAGGGATGGCAAAAATTCCCATTAAACCCGATACCCGCGGGGACCCGCCCCGAACGGGGAGGAAATTACCCGCTTAATCGGGTATGGGGGCGGGGATGGGTCGGGGAGTTTCAACCCGGGGCGGGGTCGGGGGAAGGGGTCCCCGCCTTGCCCCGTATAGAGTATAGTTTAATTTTAATTTTTTTTTTTTTTGAATTTGTTGATTTAATATGTAATGGACTGGACCAAACCAATTGCCCAAGCCCAGGCCCAAAAT